TTTTATATATTTTTTTTATATTTTTTTCGTCTATATTGATTTTTCCACATGCACACTTATATTAATAATGGAAGATTTGACAGCGTCTCCTAATGATACTATTTCTAGTGTTTCAACACAAAGCGAAATCGGAAAAGAAATAGTCAGTAACACATATCACACTAAAGACCACTGGATGGCTGTGTCGATGCATAATGATCAAAAACTTTGGAAATGCGATTATTGCCAACTAAAGACATATTCAATAAATATCAGTAGAATACACTTAAAAGAACATACTTTGAGCTGTTCTTTTTCTTCAATATGCAAGACTCATGGCGATGTGTTCAAGCAAATAACAAAAGAAGAAATGGATAAATCAATAGTTGACTTGGTTGTTAGAACAGGAATTTCTTTTAGCATTTTTGATAATCCATTATTCTATAAAATGACTAGAAATCTTCATTATGTTATAAATTCATATAAGGTCCCACATTCGACTACAATATCACGACACCTTACCAGTGATATGTTTAATAAAAGATTCGAGTTTATTAGGAATATACTAGCCAAGACTTTTGGACAGATTTCACTAACATGTGACGGGTGGCATTCAACTGTTCATAAATGTCATTACATCGTCGTTACAAGATCATAGATTAGTGACGATTGGAAAATAGTCAACATAATTTTAAGTTTTCAAAAATTAGGCCAAACAGCAGAGAAAATATTATTAGTAATAAAAGATACCTTAGAAAAATATTCTATTGAAAATAAGATATTCGCACTTATCATAGATAACACCACTACAAATAAAGCAGTAACTCGGTTATTTCAAAACAAGTTGCCGAATAAAGAGTTGATATCGATAGGTTAGATTTTTTTATTTAGTTTTTAATTATTATTTTTTTTATTTTTTATTTTTTATGTTTTTAGGATGCATGTGCCACATTCTTAACCTTATCATTCAAGAGGGCTTAAAGGAAATAAGTCCTCTGCAAGAAAAGCTTCATAAAATCATGAAATAATTAGCTAATCCCTTAGCTAGTGGTAGATTAGGTGTACTGGAATTATATTGCTGAATTTCTAGAATAAAGTTTTTGCGGCCTATTCTTGAAATAGATATACGTTGGAACTCTACGTTAGCGATGTTTGAG